ATAAAAAAGTTTATTTTAAATAAAATATGTATAGTTTTCTCTATATGCTCATTATTAATTTGTTTTTTCAATACTAGCAAAGTTACTGAATAGATAATTAATAATTCACTTCCTAAAGAGCATTTCTTTTTAACTAGTTTATTCAAAGTTATTATTGTTGAATATGTTTTAATAGTCTTACCTTTTTTTTTGATTAATTTATTTTTTATTAAATGTATCTTTAAATATTTTTACAGTTAATTAAGAAACTTGGTTTAATACAATTTAATTAAAACAGTTATGCATTATATAATTCTTATAGTTAAAATAATATAAATGTTTTATGCAATATAAAACATATTATCTATAACATAAATATTAAATTACATTATTTTTCCAATTTATTGTATTTTATTATAGTGTATACATAATATATTTATCAAAATATTATCTTTTATTTTTACAATCAATCTTTTTTATTCATTGTTTTTTTCTTAAATAAAAGGATTTCCCATAAACAGAAATATATTCTATTAAAAATTTAACAACACTGTCTTCAAAATAAGTATAAGTAAAAAAATATATGGTAAATTTTTTCTTCAAAAATTAAAGTTCTTGTGCATAAAAAAATTTTTTTTTCTTTCGTAAAATTCTGAATTAAGATAGTTTTTGTCTTTATCGTTTTTAGTGATTCATATATTTTACAGATTCTCATAAATATATTTTAGTTATTATGATCATTTATAGAAAATCAATAATAATATATTTTATTAACTCCTCCTTTCATTTTTTTTTAATAACAGGATCTTACTCCAATCTCAATAATTTTTCTAAAGTAGAATATATGATACTTAAATTATCATTAGTATGTAACATATTTTACGATAATTTTTCAGTAAATTATGAAATACAGTTAACTTCATTGATAATTTCAATAAAAATATTAGATGTTATATGAAAAGATATATGTTTTATACCTTTATTATTTTTTTTATTTTGCAATTCTTTAATTATTTTTCCTGTTTAACTTTATTGAATCGGTTTATTTTTCCATAGAGATTTTTTTTCATACTCTTAAAATTTGATATTATACTATTTTTTCTATTTTCTCATTTCTGAATTTACCAATATTTCATGTGCATATATTTAAAGACAAACAAAATTCTTTGTTGATTTCTTATTTATTTCAACATTTTTACATTGGTGTTATATCTTTAATTTAATCTCTTTTTTTTGATACATTATTTTTATGTATTTTGACTAATTTATTTATCAAAATACAATTGTCACACCTTTTTAGATATACACAACCTCTCTATGAAAGCTCCTTTTTTGTCATAATTAAAAGGCTTTAAAATAATTAAACTGTACAATTGGTAGTATCTAGATATCATTTTATATTTATAAATTACACTACTAGCTATTCACTTAGAACATTTGTCTTTGGTTTAACTTTTACTATTGACTCTATAATATTTTAAAATTTCATTATCTTTGGAAAGTTTAACAGAGTATTATTTAAAAGATAATTTAGGATATTTTTTACGAATTTAAATGATTATCTGTGGTAATTTATTAAACTGAAAGTTAAACATCATCATTATGAATTGAAAGGTTAAGTTGATAAAATTATATAATTACATTCTTTTAATATTATATTCATGTATAATATAATATTTTCATTGAGAAAAATATTTTATTTGAAAAATAACTAAATATTTTAAAAAAAAAAATCAATTATTTAATATTACTTTATTTTATATATCTCCATAACATACAAATACTCCGTTGCCCAACTAATTAATAACATAAATGAAAAATAAAAAAAAATATAATAAATTTATATTTAGACTCATAGAGACTTTATTATCTTCCTAGTAATTTAAATATGTATATATATATATATATATATATATATATATATATATATTAGCATAGATATATAATATCATATAAAAAGACCTTTTTATACTACCTTAACATTGTAGAAAAAGTTAATAAACCTTTTATAAATCAATTATTTATAGGAAGGATTAATATTCCTACTATTAATCATTTTACATGTAAGGTTAACAGAAATTTAACAACATTATCAGGATAATAAATACGTTGGAATATGAGAAATTCTTAGAATATACCTTATAACACTTCAAAAAAAATTCTTCAGATTTTAATGTTGGATTTTTGCTTAATAGTAAGAAATTTTTCCATTTGTGGAATTTTTTTTTCTGTATTAATATAGAAAACATCTGTAGCATAATTTATAACTTAATATATATATTATCACTATTTTAAAATTTTACTTGATTCAATAAGTAGATAACAGAATATTGAGTTTTAAACAGTCTTCTTTTTATATTATCTTAGAGAATTTTCACTTTCTCAAAAAGAATAAGTTATTTGAAATAACTTTCTAATTATACTTTGTAAATTTCAAATAATAAATTGGATTTTTTTATTTTGTAAATATCATTTTATTTCATAAAATAAAATTATATTAAAAGGAAAAGTGAAATATATCAATGAATACTTTTAAGTTAATTATTATAATTTATAGATCCGTTTTAACTTAAAAAATATATAATTTAAAATTAAAGGATGAAATAATTCTACGAATATAAATAAAAAGATTTTAATTAAATGTGTTTTATAAATATATATAATGTATTTAAAAAGTTAAACCTAGCTATTAGAAAATATCAACTAGTATAGGACTTTATGAACAACATTAGTATAATTTAAATAGAAATATACGTTTAACAAAACCTCCAATAGATAATATAATAATTGAATATTTTTATTTTTCATTGTAAAAAAAATAATTTATTATTATATCCATTCATTAGACATTAAGATATATCAATAAAAACATATATCACACTTTAATAAATATTATCAGAAGAAGACATTTTTATAAAATAATAATTTAAATTCTTCTTTTTTATTATATAAAAATATAAATAAAAAAATATTTTATAAATATAAATATATCTTAGTTTCATCTAAATAATTTTAGGTGGCTAATTATTAAGCACATGTACATATAAGAAAAGCATGAATACTTTTTATTTTGCATTCCTTAATTTTTATTTAAGATATTAAAAAAAAAATTAAGAAACTTTTTATGAAAAGTGGCAATAAATTTATAAACATATACTATTTTTATAATAAAAGAATATGTAACAAATTATAATGCATTCATGAACAATTTATTAGTAAATATAAATATATACAATTTTTATGGTTTCATATTTCTTCGTAATTTTTTAAATATATATATTTTTTTTTAATAATGTAAAATATATTTATATTTTGTCATTTTTTTTCTTGCACAATTTAATAAAAGTTAAATTTAATATAAAAGTTTTAATTAATTATAATTTATTTTTATGTATTTATATTTGTTATTCAGTGATTTTTCTTAAAATGAAATACAAAAAATTTTATTAAGGTAAATGGGTTCTAGTTGTTAATTGTGCAATGTTCTCTATATTTCATATATGGATAATTACATTATTTTATTTCATTCCTTAATTCATATATATATATATATCATTTACTATTTTTATTGTAATTAATACTTTTATTTTTTGAATATTTTTTGATACTAAATTATTTAAGTATAGTCATGAAATATCATACAAATAAATTTATTTAAATAAATTATTATATCATTATTCATATTTAATTGTTGCATCGAATTATTGTTATATTATAAAAGATGTAAAATTATTATAATTTTATTCTCATTATTTTTTCAATATAATGTTTTTTTTATTGTTAGTGTATAATTTAGTTAACGGTATTTTTTATATTTAAAAAAACATATAAATAACTTACATTTATTTTTATCTGCTTATTCACTTTAATTTTTTATTTGAATTTCATTTTATCGGTAATTTAATCTCAACTATATTTCAAAAAAAAGAATAAGCAAAATTTTGTTACGAATTAGTTTTTATTTAACAATCATTCAGTTAGCATGTCATTAATATTTCTTGTTATTATAACAAAATTTTAATTCATTATATGTAAATATAAATTTACTTTCATCAACTCAAAAATTTTAAAACAAATGTTCTATTTTCATATATCTCTTTTATTATTTCCTCAGTATCCATAGAATGAATGAGAATGCTTTATTGCTATTCCACTACTATTATGTTTCTTTTCTTTTCCTTTTATTTATTATTGATTAAAATTATTACTATTTTTATTACTTTATAAAACATGCAATTTTTAGAAAAATTTAATTCTTTACTTTATTTACTGAAAATATGTATGTAAATTATTATTGTTTTTTTTTTTTTTCTATTATTATACATAATTTTTGTATACATCCTTCCTTTTTCCCATATTATGAATGTCCAAGGGATATTTTATACATATGTAATGCAATGCAAAATTTTTTATTAAAAATATCTAAAAGAATCTATTATTAATTAAATTAATAAGTTACTATATGTAATAAAATTATTCATTTAGATATTAGAGAAACATGCTCATAAATATAAAATTTGAAAATTCGGTAATTCTTCTTTAAATATAAATAATAATCAAAATTAAGTGATTTATATTTAGTGTCAAAATATTAGTGTTATAGTGGTTAGTTTTTTTTTTATTTACCAATTTTTATATATTTTTTTAAATATTTAATTTGAACAATATTTAATTAAAATATGCATTAAAATGTTTTTTTCGTGCCTATAACTTTTTAATAATTTTTATTATGTTTTTTGTTAAAAATTATAAATATCAATCTTAAAATGAAATAATTTTTAAATTATATATAACATTGAAAAATAAATTAAGATCTTTATATTATTAAAAATTATTTTACATTTAATTTAGTGAATATTTAAATCTATTAATACAAATAATATCATTACATTAATTAGAAACAATATAGAAGATAATAGTAATTCAATCAATTTAAATATTGTGCCTTTTTAACATATTTACTTAATCTTCACATTAAATAATATTTAAAATATATAATTATAAAAATGTTCAATTATTCAATGACAATTCTCTATTTTTTTGCTTTATTTCGGATAATCCATTATTTTTGCAACATTAGGTAATGCTAATTCCATAAAATAATTTAAAATTTTTAATTTTAATAAATTCAAACATTAAAATAACTTTTATAAATTTAATTTCAATTTTTCGTAATAATACACTATCTATAGTTTATGGATTATAAATCAAAATTTAAAAGTAGTGCCATATTTTAAAACTATAAGAATCTTAGCTGATAAAGAACCTTCTATAAAAACTAGGGTAACAAGATCTAGGGTAAGTATGCAACAGTCATTTAATACATCGTTGGATCATTTGCAAAGAGAATTACTTACGAAGATGGAAAAATTACATGATAACAATATGTTCAATAACAGTGATAACATTATTCATTGGATGCATAATAAAAGTAGGGAAATTGTTGCAGAAATTAATGCTAAACCTGAACCTGCAGATAAGAAAATTTTAAATGATAGTTGGAAAGTTTGGAATGAATTAAAAACATGTATTGAAGAATACTTTGAATATATTAAAAGTAAAGTCTCATGTAATTTTGCTAAAGTGAATATCAATGATATTTCTGATTGGATGTATAATAAAAGTTTACTCATTGTAAGAGATATGAATTTAAAAGATGATCTCGATGAAAAAAAATATTTAAATGATACCTATCATATATGGAATAATATGACAGAATCTCTTAAAAATCATTTAGTGGAATTACATAATGACACAATAACAAATAGTAGTTGTATAGATAAGGATTCATCAACTACAAGTGTGCTATTACCCACATCTACTTCGTCACCTAAATCCTTGACTTCTACACCTACACCTACTTTATCTTCAATACCTACATTATCTTCATCACATGCTACATTAAGCACATCTGATTCATTATTCACATCTATTACTTCACCCACATCTACTTTGTCACCTAAATCTATGTCTTACACACCTACACCTGCTTTATCTTCATCACATACTTCATTAACCACTAATTCATCATTATTATCTGATTCGCTATCCGAATCTAATCAGTCACCTCTACCTTATGCAACATCCTTACCTAATTCATTAGCAACAACAGATTTGCTTAAAGTAAATGCTACAGATCAAACAGAACACTTATCTACGTTATTATCCTCAACAAGTGAACATGAAAATATATCTTTGGAAAGTTCATTATCACCTCTTCCTGTAGATCATACTGTATCTTCTCCATATCTTACATCTGTTAAATCATCTCCATTCAATACATTATCTGTAAATGATTCTTTTTAGGTTGATTCATTTACTTATACCACTCCTGGAAATCATAAGGAAAATTTCTCTGCAATTACACCTACAATTGTAAGTGAAAATATAATTCCATCTACAAATAATGTAACTCCACTAATTCCTGAAGGACAGGTTAATAGTGTATCTAATATGACATGCACAAGTTTGCTATGTGGACCAACGGTTGCTGCTATATCTATTCCACTTGTTATTCTTGGATGTGTATTTTTTTTAGTGCTCCTTTATAAAGTAAAATAAAATTGTATTTGCTATTATGAATAATTTTTTTTTTCTATTACAAATATTTGTTCAAACTTAAATAATATTAATACAGATTAAATTTTAAATTCATTGTTTTTAATTCATATTATAGCATACTCCCATTGGATTAATGCTTGGAAGAGATAATATAAATAAAAAGAAAGGAAGAAAAAGATTACATGATAGTTCAGTAAATATTACTGTGAATTCTTCAGAAGATTTAGATAAAAAAGAAGGAAGTTCCAAGAGGAGAAGACTTAATAGTTTCCTTAGAGCTTTTGGTTATAAATACAGACGTATATTTCCTTTCATAGATGATGAAGAAATTCACTAAAGAATTATATTGATGAAATTTTAAGAATATATAAATTATAATGTTGGTATATAAATAATACATAATAAATAAGTGTTAAATTGACATAAATATGTCTTTTCTATTTTTTAATCATATGTTTTATTAATATTTTATAAATATTGAAAGAAATATGTTTGCATAAGTTACTTGTTTTCAATTTATCTTCTTATATATAAAAGAAATAAATATTAAGACGAAATAAATAGATCTTTTTTATAAAGAAAAACGTACTTTATTTGTTTGTATATAAATTAATGCTTTTTTATGCTTTATATTCGTACCTCAAATAAAATTTTGAATGATTTTTTTATTTTGTATTAAGTGTTTTTAGAACAATTATATAAATAACTACTGATATTGAAATGTGAAAATACATCGAAATTTTTAATTGAATTACCTTTATCATTAAAATTACAAATAATTTTTTATTTTATAATTTATATATTTTTATATTTTTCTATTATATAAATAAAAAAATTATTGTAATATAAAGTTTTTTTTTTTATAATATATTTTCATCTAAATGTTAATTAAAGTTCATTTTTTTATAAAAAATTAAAATTTATATTATCATATGTACACTTTTGTAGATAAATAAAATTAAATTTTCTTTGAAATCAGTCTATATTGATTACAAATACTAAAAATAAAGTAATATCATACAATTACATATTTCATATTGAGAACATATTGTTTATCTGTTATGATTATTTAATATGCGCTATTAAAGTTGCATAGTCCTTTTTTATTATATCCTTAATGGCTTAGTTAACATTAATATTACCTTTCTTCCATTTATATTTTTAAATGCACTATTCTTATGATTGTGACTTATTAAACATCAATTAAATGATTTCGTCAGATTAACAAACAAACAGATTAATAAAGAGTATGTGTAGTAATTTCCACTAATTTTAATTAATATAAAAATAATATTTGTAATTGAGAAATCTATATATAAATAACTTACTTAATTAAGCTTTTACTATTTCGGATGTATTTATTTACTTTAATTTAACCAATGTTTACTTTGATTAAAAACTAAAATCCTCATTAAAACTATCAATTATATATAGAATAATTTTAGAATAAACTAACAAATTTAAATTATAGTTATTAGCAGTTTTTTAGAAATACATAAACATTTAATAGTAATAAAAAAAATACTTCTTATTTCTTTTTATTCTTCAAGTTTAATTTTTATTAAACCCAAAACTTAATTCCTCAATGAAGGATATTGTTTTACACCAGAAAAAAATTTTCTTTTTTTTTTTTTTTTTTAAATTAAACTAAGTAAAAAACAATCAAAGAAGCAATTTAAAACTAAAAAAAAGCAAAAAAATTTTTTTTTACTTACATACATTCTTTAATAGAGAACTTTCATAGTTAAGTTATTATTTTCTACTTAATTTACTAGCTATTATTTCATAGAAAGTTAATTATACTTTTTATTAATAAGATTATTATTACTATTATTATTATTATTATTTATTCATCTATGTTTTTTGTCATGCCTTTTTATGTTATAAAAAATAACATATTAACAATATTATAAGTTTTATTCCTTGCATTAATATTATATTATTTGCTCAACTTATTTCATCACTTCTACATATATTTTAGGTATTCTTTCAAATGACTTTTTTTTAATTCACCCATTTTATACTTTTTTTCATGTGGAACCATTGATACTTTTCTTTAGTAATACTTTTTATGGGCTCTTTAATATATGTTACTAATCTATGAAAAAGCTTCTTATATTATTTTGAAAATATAAGATTTTATTAAGAAAAATCATAAGGAAGAAACATATATAAATATAATGTATGTATTTTACTTAATAAATTATTTAAATAAATATGTCTCAATTAAACTAATATTTCATATATTTTATATTTTGTATATTTTTTAAGAACGACAAATATATTTTAATAATATATTTTTATATTATTAATAAGGAATGGTAAATAGAATTTTTTAGTAACACTTTTCCATAAATGCAGTATGTTAAGTAAATAAGTTAATTATTTAAGTAAAATGTTCATAAAATACCTGTGAAAACAAAGAAACTTTACAGATGTAAAAAAAAAACTATATTATTTTTTTTATATTATATTAATTAATAAAGAATATTAATTACTATTTTAATCTTTTAATGAGTAATTAAATATATAATGAAGATTTAGTTATGAGTATGTGGTATTTATGAAAATACTCTGATGTTTGTGCTAAAAATATATAGTATTTGTGTATATGTTAAAATAATAAAGGAAGATAATTTTTTTTTTGTGATATATTTGATTATGATTATCTCTATTTTCATTATATTTATTTCCTTAATTATTTTCGTTTAACTATATAAATTAAGGAATTAATTTTTAAAAAATACTATATTATTATTAAGAAAATTTTTTTTTTTATGAAATATTAATTTGTTTAATACAGGGATTATTTTTTTTGTATTAAAATATTTTTATAATGAAGAATTAAGTCATAATAAGATTATAAAATAATTTTTGTTAAATTATTTAAATATTTCTTGTTAAAAAATTTATGTTAAGAATAATGAAAATATTTAATTAACATATTTATATCTATATAGTTTTAAATATTACATGAAATAAACTATTTACTTAGTATTATGTAGTGTCATTATATAAAGTCTTTGTATTAATTACAAATGTATTCTTATAATTAAAAATATTAATATTGTTTATTCCACATTCTTTTAATTTGTTCTCTCAACAAACAACAAAAGCTTAATTAGAATTTAATAAATTATATACATAACTTTTGATAAAATTTGTTAATTATTTTTTAGGATAATATATTTTTGTTAATGAAAATATATCTTATGTTTTGGAAGAAACAATAATTAAATTTAAAAAAAGGACTTTATTTAAAATTAGAAATGAAAAAAAATTTTTTTTCATTGTAAATTTCCTTTAATAAAAAGAATAAAAAATAATTTTTGTTGAAAAACTTTAATATACATGAATTACGATAATATACCTTTATTTATTTTATTATATTTTGACAAGTATCGTCTGCTATTTAGAAGCTAAAAATATATTATAAATTTTTTTCTTTTAATATATAACATTTATGTATTCTAAATTTTCAGCATATATTAAATATCATTTAATATGATATACTATCTTAAAAAAATATATTATTATATAAATTCTTTATATCCCTTCAATATATAAATATCTCCTTATTATATACATTAATTACGTGAATAAAAACAGAGTAAAATAAAATAAAACACTATTAATTTATATTTTATCCTCATGGAAACCTCAATAATAATAATATATAATAATATGTTTTTACATTAATTATGAAAAAATAAATAATAGAGACATAATTATATGAATAAAATTATACAAGCAAAAGAGTTCTGAATATATATATCTTAAGGATTTACGTCATATGAGACACATTAACCTTATAGAGACTAAAAATATTCAAGCTGAAAAAAATTATATTTTCTAAGCTTAAGGAATCATGTGATATGAAATATAATATATATATATAAGAATTATAAAAGCATAAAGTTAAAAAACTCTATTTGATAGAAAATAAATTCATGTAATCTAGCAATTTCTAGACATGTGTTTTATTAATTGCTATTCAATAACTTTGCTAAAGTATTGAACAAACAGATTAATAAGGAGAATATAGAATTTCCCATACTAATTTAATGAATTTACATGTAATTTTAGTTCTGTAAACCAGTAAACTGTTATATATATACAGTCAACCTTATTGAACATTTATTATTTTTTAATAGGCATTTGTATATTTTAACAAAAATCACTATTTTTATTAAAAATTTAAATCCTCATTAATTAATGATTTTAATTACATAAATTTCATTTATATTGACATGTTTAAGGTATAGTAATTCAAATCCATTTCTCTTAATTAAATAATTAACAAAACGTAAAATAAATATATATACTGTAAAATGTGAAAATTTTATCATTATTAGTACAAAATTTTCTTACATAAATTTTAAACAAAATATACTACAAGAAAATTTTTAGTCAACAATTTTTCTTTTTTTAATTTTTTGATAATTTTTTTAATTTGTTAAGATTAATAAAAATATCTTTTATATATTTTAAATTATGAAAAAAAAACAAAAAAAAATTAACAATTTTTTTTTTTTTATCTGGCATTTGCATGGGGATTTGTGAATTATATTATAGACCTTTTTTTGTATAATATTTAGATGAATAAACAGAATAAAAGCATTTTATTCTGTGCATGCTAAATTGTGGAAACAATATGCAATCATAAATGAATATTATAAAATAATTACTCAAAAGTATGTACACCAAAAAATTTATATATACTATCAATGAAAGAGAGTATACTTAAAAAAAAAAATTTTAATAAATAACAATTTTTATTTTTTTTTATTCGTGTATCTGCAATTTAAAAAAAAAAAAAATATATTATGTATTTTTTTTAGGTAAACATGATATACCAAAAAAAAACAATATATTATGAAAATACATTTTTTTTATTTTTTTTTTTGGGCGAAATAGAGTATGTGTGCAAATTATAATATAGAGTACATTTAATTTTAAGTTAAAGGACTTTAAAATTTACATATTAAATTACATAGAGCTTACTTCATATTTTCTTAATTAACTTATTTGTTAAATACTAGCAAAGCCATTCAATGGGTGATTAATAAGTCACATGATTATTTATCTTTCATACAGCAATTACTTTTTATTTCCAAGAGGACTAATATCTTTTATTAACAAATACGCAAAGAGTAAAACTTATTCGAGATGAGAAGATTTAAATTTACAAAATATTAACGCGTTAATACATACTTAGTAAAAATAATAAAGAATGGGACTTATTTTAAAAAGAAAAGAAAAATGAAAGCATTTTCAATAAGAGTAAAAATTATTAAAGTAAAAAATTCATAAAAATTGAAATAAAAGTAATAAAAG